TTTGACTAGGGTATTGCTGCCGACCATTACCTTCCAATTCCATGTTATGACTTTCAATATAACTTGTCGTTTTTAGAAGCGACAAACAATATTCTAGATAGAATTTGATGCTTTGCTGTTCAGTGCTGTAGAATATCGCTTCTCGTACTCTGACTAAATTTTGATAGGTTTCGTTGAAGCCTGGGTCTGTTGAGCCCATCCTGCGTACGCTCCTTTTTTACTCTTCGGGATCCTGTTTACTTGTTTGAGATCCTTTCATCTTTCCTTCCTGACGATCACATACTATAATGGACGCGAGTAAATATGTCAGTGCGGATCCGCAAGTAGGATATCCATCCGCCATATGTGCCTTCGTTTTAGATCATATATCTACAAGTTGGCTCCAGATGTGCACTTAACCCCATTAAGGACCATGGGAGTCATTTTGATGCTCACCGCAACCACGTCAAATATCGCTCAGCTACTGCAATGTGGTGTCGCGTCTCGTGGTAAAGCGGGCAGGCAACCAGGCACGCATCCACGGCCATGCAGAGCCTCTTATTTGAGTACCGCGCAAGTGGCAGCACGATGCCATCTGCCTATCACTACTGGTTCTCAGAAGATTAAGATGTGCTTCGTGAGACGTCACATAGACTTTTGACTAACCTTCTGAAGGTTCTTATAGAGGTGGATCTGTGATTTTGTTTAGTATAGTGGGAGATAGAGCGAAAGAGAAATTAGGCATATTAATAGTATTGACTCATTTTGTTGCTATCTTACACTCACAATGCTCTCATATAATTGCCACATGAAATGTACTTGCTAGCTTTACTTTTGGCCAAAGACAAAGCAGCCATGGGCGGATAGATGCGTTGTTCTATGCCATAAATACGTACGCTTTGATTCTTAGAATGCCTCTAATTAGCTTATAATGTGTTTGCCTTAGACCTGTTTTCGTTTATTTCCATTGTCTTTTTTTTTACTTTGATTATCCTTTATAATTTTTAGACACTAGTAAAGCTACCTGAGGACAAAATGACTGCCATAGCTTTAAAGGAGAGAATGAAGGAGATTATAGCTGCTAAGCAGCGTAATCCATACGTCAAAGCTCGTCAGAAAGCAATTCTCGACATTGAGGTTGTTACTTATGGACTATTGGAAGGCTAAAAAGTCAAATATCAAGCCGTATAGCTGTGCTTATTTGTTTTAGAACGTCCTGCGTTCCGTTCTTCGTCCGTTCTCTTCATTTTCAAATTCTAGTCAATTCCTTGTTGGAGAAGAATGCATTCATTCACTAGCGCCGAATATTGTAAAGGATATAGAGGCTTCCCTCGCCATGGAATCGGTAAAATATTGAGTCTTCTCATGATAGTTAGGTTGAAATCTATTGATGTCAAAGTTGATTAGTAAGTACTGAATGCTGCGGGTTATTAGTCGATTGGTTTTATGAAAAGGTAGTAGGTAAGATTTCTTACTAAAACATTCAGTGAGGTTTCTAGAGTTCTCTCTTGCTAAATATTCCTTAATTATTACCAAAATTGTAAGATTTTGAACAAGAAGCAGAAAAATGAGCTCTTTCCAGGAAAAAGTTCAAAATCTCGCTTTGTAATGTTTTATGAGAAGTTCATAATAGTAGAGAAGAGTAATGACGTAGCGTTTTCGTCGGAGCACCAAACCACTTACAATTATCTTGCACAATGAATCCCATTAGTGTTCGTAAGATTAAGCAAATGTCGGCTTTTTTTAATGTTGTTTTAAGGCATCTCCATTAAGTATTGCCCTTCATGCTCTTCTGAAGCAAGGACGATGGAAGATCGTTGATCTTTCCAAATGGGGTGAAACCTTCAGCGTTGACGCTTCTGAGCAGGTGAGAGATCTCGTCTCATATATTAGAGAGCGGAATATTTCAGAATATTTGAATTTTCATTACAGCTACGAAATTTCTTCCGAGTTTTAGAGTTGTTCGTAAGCAACTAGAAGTGCTAGAGGAAGGGAAAAGTGTTGAATCAGCAAAGAAAAGAGCTGCTCAAAAACATTCGTTGCAAGATGTGCTGAAAGAAAAAAGGATTCTCATCATCACTTCTCGATAAAGAATTATTACCAGGAAAGTTCATTCTTCCTGAGGATTCCGGAAGGGATACTCACAAGCGATCTGTCGTTGACTATGCGCCCACATCATGAACTTTTGGTGAGGCCTATTACAGCGAATAGGCTTGTGACGTATTCGTGGTCAGTCGCTCGATCCCGTGCTCAGGAGTCAGCAAGCCTTCCCTAACTCGGCAAATTAGCACCAGACTTGTCTGGGTGGATGACAGCACTGACCTACCACATGGTAACCCACCACTCATCATTCTTTAAAGCCTATACATTCAATCATCAAACGGTTGTAGTTGAGGGCGAATGCAGTGGCGCCGAGAGCTTCATCGTTTTCAATTCTTTCACTATCGTACATATACAGAATGGTGTCTCTTGAAATTTTCGAAGAACGAGAGACGGAGGCATAACAGTTGCAGGTTGCAGTGCCGGATGTGAAAGATACATTTGTAGGCACATACATATGAAATAGGCAAACTTTTGTTGAGGACATGCTTACAATTTCTATGTGATTGTGAAGGAAGCCTTAACCTTTGAAATTCCAGTTTACAGTGAACTGAAGTGAACTTTAACAAATGCAATCTTTGCGTACGATGACATTAGTACGTGAGCGGAGTGATTTAGGCGTTATATCGTGTTTGAATACATGAAAAATCTATTTTTCCAGAGTTTGAAGGCAACGGAGGACCAAATCGAATCGATGTTTTTTGCATGTGTCGGACAGCTTGAGCATATGGGCATCATCAAGGCGAGCAAAGAACGCGAAACATTGTCAGTTGTAATTGCACATCATGTTCTTGGTCAAACAGTCTCTTGCAATTAGCCTGAGAGCAGTTGTAAAATGTATGTATTTATCTTGCCCCCTGCATTTTGATGATCTTCATAAATCCTGATTTTCTTCTTTGAGCCATGCACGAGGTGTTAAATGATTTCTTCATTCAACAGCTTGCGTTTCGGCAGTTTGCCTTCTATAGAGACTGGAGAGGTCAAGTTGTCTTGAACTGTTGTTGGTCTTTATAATGTAATACCTTTCTTTCCGACTGATTTTTTGAAATCTCGCCTAAAACAATATGAGAAAGAAGCCTTCGACGTTGATCCAGCCTCGGGGATGCGCCATGCATTAGACTTCGATTTTTGACTTCGTTTGAGAGAGGTGGCTGAATGCAGATCTGGCCCCTACAGTGGCTAGCGGTGGCCTGCCGCTGTATCGAGTCAGTGCTGCTTACCCTTCTAGACAAGTCTGTGGTCATTCTGGTACGCAATTCACTGACCCTGGAAGTTGAATGGCTTGATGAGCTATGAACGCGAAGTCGAAGCATCGATCTTGTGCGCGACGTAGAGCACCTCTAACCACAGCGCCGCATGCACTCATGAAAAAGATATATAATTTGATTACATATCTTAAGCCTTTCATGGGGTTTGTAATGGTGCTGCTGGACGTGCGTTTCGACCTTTCGGCCACAGTAGCGCGGTGCCTCTTGGTTTAGTCAGTTCCATGTAAGGGAATATACCTCTTACATACGAAGGAATCGGGGCCGAGTCATATACACTGATAAAGTCATCCGACGAGCAGTGTTTTACAGTCGATTGCTCGTGGCTGATAAAGCGTAACTTGGATTACCTTCATTTTCAAGTGTCTTCTAAGACCTCACTTAAAACAATATATAGATCCTTCATTATTATTTGAGTCAATTTGCCATGTAGTCTGGTAAGGGCTCTTGTACAGCACGACACACATGGTCCGTCCTTACAAACTCGTAAGTCGGGCAGAACAGCCGGGCTCAACAAAACACGCGAAATAAGGGTATAATATGATTGAAATACCAGCCAAAGAGCAATCGAGTGCGCAAATGCTCTGTGTTAGGTAAAAATTTCGCTTGACATAGAGTGTAAAACGTTCGTCTTCGATGACTCTCTGTAAGGGAGTAGAGTTCCAGAGAGAACTGACAATAAAAAGATCAAAAGACGACGGGTTCTGCCCAGATGACGAGTCTGTAAAGACGAAACACGTGTATCGCGCGGTAGAAGAGCCCTTACCCGACCACATGATAAGTTGGCTCAAATAATAATGAAAGGATCTATTGAAATTTGAGCTCGGTCTTAATTAAGCACTCGAAATAAAGGTATATTTATAGTATGGTAATATCTTTTAAGCATCTCTTGAGGTATGATATGCCCCCTTTACTGCTAGACGTACGTTTCTTCTTTCATGTTGAGCCTCATCAGTAGCAAGTGCCTTTCGCTTCAACTATTCACCGACATGTCGCTATTTCTTGGTGTTCTTAGTATTCCATCGTATTAATGTAATATTGGGGAACATAAGATACAGTTAGGATCACGGTCACAAAGAACAGAGCATCGATAGCGCAATTGGATAGCACCCGCGCGCGGAAGGGCAGGACTCGGTCTCGAATCCTGCCCGAGGTCAGAGTTTTGCATCTCACTCTACTACATCATCGAACTTTGTCAGAAGCTGCCAATTTCTGACATTTCTACCCAAATCTTTTGAAATTTTCACTTTTTTGCTATTCTTGTTTTTCTTCGTCGTTTTGATCTTTTTGACCTCTTAAGCCGTTCGATTTCTGCCCAGTGTGTGTCTGTATGGCCTTCTGCATTTAGTCAACTTCTTTGATGTATATGAAAGCTTTTCTTGAATAAATTGGTCTCTCAAAACGATTTGTTCAATTGCCAAAAGCGAAGGTACGCATTTGCGTACATAACAATGAAAATGCCGTCGTTGCAATTGAGTCATGTCGCGATGGTCGTGATCTTTAGTTCTTATCTTCGTGAATGTGGTGTGATTCTCCGTTGGCTTGATGTTCTATCTCTTTTATTTTCTTATTCATTTGAATGTCAATGATGTAATTAGAAGTAGCGTCTAAATAAATATAAACGCCCAATAATATGGAGTGCTGTGCAAAAAGATTTGCGCCAGCAGGGGTTCGCACCCAGATCTCACTATTTCTGGGAGTGTGTGTTAACCGTTGCACCACCGACGCGACATACACTCCCGGAAAGAGTGAGATCTGGGCTCGAATCCCGGCTGACGCAAATGTTTTACACTCCCGGAAAGAGTGAGATCTGGGCTCGAATCCCGGCTGACGCAAATGTTTTTGCACAGCACTCCACATTATTGGGTATACCATAGCATCATAACACTGCAAGTGGCAGTCAAATAAAAAGAATTCTGACTAGATATAAACGATTTGGGATTTTTTATTTTCTGTACTTTCGAGGTTTTTTTGGCTAAATTTCTGCTCAAGTATAAATAATGTAGATTTAATCAGAATATGAGTTTAAATAATGTCAGATAATGTATTTCCTTTACTCTCGACTTTTTCTTGCTGGGGGTTTTTTTCCGGAATTGGGTTAGAATGGGTTAATGAGGATTCAACAGTGGGTGAATTTTCATTTGATTGCATTGGGTCATTAGTGTAATTTGAGTATCAGGGAAACGTAACATAGTAGTAAATGTAGGTTTAGGGCTTGCTTTGGGTGGAGAAAACCCTAATTTCTTCGAGGGCTTCATGAGGTGCTTCGCATTTCGTGGGTTTTCCATTCAACTACTGCGGTATCGTTGTACATTTTCTTGCCACTGGGCCTTTTCTTTTGACTTCATAGTCGTTATTCGATGGATTCAGATGTCTGGTGATCAAGACGTGGCGCTACGTGAGGATACGTCGTCGAGTACATCGTCACTTGGAAGCTTTGAGAACGTGAGCACTGCGGACATGTGCAAATCGTCGAGTGAGCCAGCAATCACCGACAGGCCAGACGTCCCCGATACGAAAGCTGTCGACGATGCAGATCCGATTGGAAGCGACACCAACGGACGCAAGGAAGCTGACCAAGTGCGTTGTGGCTTTTATTTCCGCTTTTGAAGTAATTACCCCCTACAGGAACGACGTATGCCAGCTAAATTACACGGTTGTTTTGAAGGCCTTTTTCGCTGAACAAAACTTTTCTCGGAAATAAAATTTAGTTTCGCACTCAGTTTGCTTCATTTGTTCGGCTGGGGCTCTTCGTCAAATTCTTACTAGTAATTCAATAGCCCAAATCTCGAGGATCTCGGTGTTGTAACTGGTTTTTCAAAAAATAGTCATAGAACATCGTATGAGCCAAAAGAAGATTACGTTTCACACTCAAAGTTTTCATCGTACAGAGAAGTTGCATATGCACCCTGTCTTTTATTGTAAAAGTTTATTTTGAGCCTTTTATGAGGTCTTTTATGGGCACTTATACACGGCGAGACACGAGTTTCTGCCTTCCAGCATTGACAGTGGCACGGTGGCTTTACGTTTAGTCAGTTCTCTTGGGATCTGCCCCTACATGAAGGAATCGCTGGCGAACTTTTCACACTTGAAGTACGATGAAACAACATGTGGCGTTCTTTCAGAGTGTCTGGTCCATAAGAGACCTCTGAAAGGCTCAAATCACTGCCAGTTATTGTTCTTGAGCGAGGTCTCAAAATAGTGGATTGCAAGGTTTGCTGTGCAATATTTTATTGATAATGCGCCGGCGCTCTAATTTGGGTGTGTTAGCAGCTATCTTATTTTAGTATTTATTCAGAACTGGCAGAACCAGTGCTACTTTTTATCAATCGTTTTTAAGCAACGGTATGATGCTACTAATAATAAGCCGATAATGTTGAGTGATATGAAAAAGTTTGAACTTCGGGTTGGAATCAAACCCGCATCTCATCCTTTCTAGCGGCGCGTGCTAACCTGACGTACTACTGGGGCTCCTGTTCTGCTATCGCTCTTACTCGCTCTTGATGACTAGGTCTGTGCAATATCTGTCAGCGTAATTGGGTTCAGTGCCGACATGTGTTTACTAGCCAAAACCGTAGCCGGTTGGTTGCTGACAGAGCGATACCTTGTATCACAGGAAGAATAATAGGAGCACAGAAGGCTCAGTAGTGCAGTATGTTAGCATGCGCCTCCGGATAGGGTTAGGTAGAGATTGGATTCCTGTCTAAGGTTGAAAGTTCTGCATGTTTTTCAACTTTATCGGATTTCTAGTTATGATAATGTTTATATTTTATTAAGTTCTAAACCTGCTAATGAAATCACTGAAGTTGCTTCTCGTTTCCATTTTAGGAGCAGTTCTATACTTCTGCACATGCTGGACGGGCCATCTCGATGTTGATCAAGTTTACAGCAGCGATGTTTGTATTGCCTCTTTTAGTGATGTTTACGACTTACCATTACATTTTCAGAGGTTCGATCTTTTGCTCAAATCGTATCTTTTTAGTTCCTTATCGTTGCTAGCTTTTTTGATTTGTACAAACCTATCTTTACGCGAATATTTTAGATCATTACCATTTTCCTCCTGACGAAGCGATGCTATACGCTGGCTTTTGCGGAATCGCTACCGTTATTATCATAGTAATTATCTTTGTATATGTGGCATACCGTGAAGAACAGGAGGATGAAAAGATAAGATTACGCTTGAAAAAGTCTGAATGAACTTCCAATGCCTGGCTTCGCTAGTTTTCAGCAGTATATTCCTTCTTCTTCTTCAAGCTTGTTCTCTGTCTCGAGTACTCGTCGTATGTGAACCGCTTGCTCTGTAGATTGAAATTGTCTGTTTTACATTTTTTTCCTCCTATTTCGTGTACAGTGATCAGTGAATTTTTGAATTTGATTGATATTGATTTCATTTTGATAGAATAAATGCATATGACGCTCTTCGTTTGAGTCTGTGACGGTTAATCAACCTGACTGATATATCTCTAGTTCTTTTTTGAGGAATCTTAGTCTTTATGAAAAAGCGTCCTATTGTAGAGGTATGTGCAAAATTGTATTATATGCGTACCACTTCTCATCGATTTCGACTCAAATTCTGGTACTATTCCGTTATCGCACCTATTTTTCAGCCTTTTGAGGACGAAATCTTTTTCGATTTTTTATTAGTCTTCGAGATGAAGAGTCAATGAAGAGCCTAACATCATCTCTGAATCAACAAATGGGAAGCCCATTCAGGGATCCATCGACGAAATCCATTCCTCGGAAACGACATCCTAAAGACTTGGAAACGCCCTTGCAAGGTTACGTCAGGAAACCCAGGAATATTATGTGCACGACCAGGCAATACACCATTTGGATTATGTGCTGGGGTGCGCACAACTAGTGAAGACGGACCATTTAAGTGTCCAAATAAGTAATAGTCCTCTAGTAGTCGCTCGATGCCTTAAACTTAAGCGATTTCGAAACTCCACCCTTTCTATGGATTAGCTTTTTAGAGTATTGTAACAGCTGAGTTAAGGCTACGTTTCATACTTGATGCGCAGTTTTTGTCGGCTGGGATTTGTGGACGGAGTTTCAACAGACTTTTAGTAATTATTTGTAGCATAAATCTTGTGGATTCTGAAGCTGAGTTTTTGGAATAGTCCTCATAGAGCGTTAGAAGAGCGGGAAAATGATTACGTTTCATATTCTCAGGCTTAGGTTTAGTAATGGAAATGAAAGCCTCACACCTGCAGAACGGTAGAGCAAACTTTCTTCTGCACTACTAATACGGAAAACCCAGAAATTTCTACGAGACAGCGAAAAAACGATGCCGATTTGTTGCGAAATCTCCGTCTACATACCTATGCTGAACAAAACTTGAGAAATCAGCTTTATTCGTGCTGCTATAGGGTATCAAAAAGGCCTTTTCAAGAAACAAACATTTTTGAAACTGCGTAGATTCAAGCTATCAAATGACTACTGAAAAGTCGATAAAGAATCGAGAAAGGTTTTGTCTCTAATAGGTTTGAAAAAGAGGAGCGATAACGGAATAGTACCTCATTTCCGTTAAGTAGCCTCCACGTTGAAGTGTACCGTTAACTCATAAAGATTCTTCATCGGTGCCCTGTGACACATGTCGTAGCGACTAATTTGCAGGATTTGAACTCATCAATGGACGAGTTGATACCGAATCTTCGCGACGAACGTGTGCAGGGCGCCGTGAAGAATCTTCTTGTGTACAGCATCGTCATTCTACTTGTTCCTCTTGGATCAATGTTTTTGCTGAAGCGGTTCATGTTTGAAGGTTCGCCTTTTGTTGAAAGCATCGATCTTACCTCTGCGATCCTCATCTGCCTTCTGTCTTTGCGTAATTTCTAGTAGACTACCTTTCGACGCGTTTGTTCTGTTTCATTGGAATTTTATTGTTATAAGTCTCACACGTTCATATGACACGTATATGCATGCACACACAGGTACTTACACAGACAGATGCGACAGACACACTCGCACACGTGTACACACATGTACAAAAGAGTACACATAAAGGATAAAGGATGAAGCTCTCGGCGTTGATCAATCCCTGAGGGATGCGCCATGCATTTGACTTCAATTTTTAACTTCGTTTGAGGTGATTGAATGCACATCTGGCCTTTACAGTGACTCGCGGTGGCCTCCCGCTGAACCGGGTCAGTGCTGCTTATCCTCCCAGACAAGTCTTAGACCTGTCTGGTAACAATTTACCGACCCCGGAGAGATGGATGGCTTGGGGTGCTATTAGCGCGAGATCGAACCAGAGACCTCGTGTGCGACGCAGGGCACCTCTAACTTGCGCCACATGCGCTCCTAGAGTACACATATACATATAAAATAGTGGCGATTCGGTTGTAGAGGCATAATTCATTGTAAAATTTGGCTATAGGGGTTATATGGTGAAACATGAGAGAGCTACGAAAATTTAGTTTAATGGTGTTTATTGACAAGCTTCAAGTGTTTATGAAAGTTTCGAGGAATTGTCTTATGAGCTTAAGAGGATTTCAGATCTTTTTGGCTATACACCTGACGAGGCGTTGACCTACTCTGCTATAGTCGCTGTCGTTCTGGTCCATGTTGTGCTGTGTTTCTGGCTTTTCGCAGCGAACAAGGATCAGAAAAAAGAACTTTGAAGTAAATAACAATGCAAAGGAATTCTCTAGGCGAGTACAATTTACTCTATACAATTTGAACTACTTGTTAATTGCGTTTCAGAGAGGTATTACATATTCAGTAAG